TTTTTTTAAAGTCAGGCCAGCATATTGTATTAAGGAAGTTGGAACAAAAAGTAAAACAAAGCTCAAGATCGTGGTTACCTAGAGGGGAAGTGGCTGGGAAAAGACGCCAGGGGCTTCTGGGGCGCTAGTTTTGTTCTGTTCTGTTTCTTGATCTGGATACTGGTGACTGAGCTGTAACCCTTAGGATTTGTGGGTTAAACGTCAATAAATAGTTAACGCAACGAATAGGCAGAGTCAGGTCGATGAAGATCAAGGACGTGCCGCAGGCTCTGCCTTTGGGCGTCGGGCAGTCTAGAGGCGCAGACGGACAGGCAGACACAACAAGGAAGCTTTAGTGTCTGGTCTTCATCAGCTGTGTGACCCCGGATGACCCTCCTTATCTCCCTAGGAATCAATTTCCTCATTTGTAATATGAAGGGTTGTTCCAATCTAAAGACCCACAGAGGTCTCTTCCAGCTACAGAGACATCTGAGGCTGACATCTAGACTCCTCTCTGAGGATAATTTGAGAAAAGTGACATGTTTCCACCTTCTTCGGTTTTTAATATTTGGCCAACTTAATCTAGAGATGGTCAACCCAGGGATAAAGGGCATCTGTGACATGGGTCGCCTGGGTCGTGTTGGAAAACAGCTCAAAGCCAGCGAGTGGATTTGATCTACCAACGACTGCTTCTGCTCCGGGTGTATTTCTCGGGAAGCCTCAGACTCAGGGCTAACCACCAGATTACACGAGCGGGGAGGAGACGTCTGCCCCTTCTGTGGATCTAAAGATTCCTGGTTATCACCTTCCATTTCTTCTAGCTCCTTCCTTCTTATAGTAGAAGCAGCAGCAAAATTATTTAGAGTCACCAAACGGTCCAACTGGAGGTGACCTCAGAGGTGACTGGGTCCCCCTGTCTCATAATACAGAGGAAGAGAGAGAAGTATGGAGGGGTGTTGTGATGTTTCTAATCGCCCAGTACGGCCGTGACTCCCCAAAAGCCAAGTGAACCAGGACTCCTGGTTTCTAAGCCACAGATGGCCTCTTGCTCTAAGAGACAACTCCCCCACCAAGCACAGGGAAGGCAATACAAAAAAGGGGTTGGGGGTGGAGCAAAAATGCAGACAGGGATGCCATGGAGCGAGGGAACTTCAACAGGAAGAAAAGGAACAAAAGTTCCCCAGGTGTTTTACTGGGGCTACCTCAAGAACCGTACTGGAGTGGCAAAGCGCCCCCGGTTCCTGAATTCCCCCTCGGTTGGTCAGTAGCAGTGGTTTCTGTCACCGCTGCAGCCTGCATGAGCGAGGGCTCCAATCTCTGACACACTTTTTAAGGGCAAATCTTTCAGCTAATGCCTGACTCTTTCTGTTGAGACAGTAGACCCCTCTTTCTTTTTATGCCGGTGTCAGTCTCGATGTCAGGAGTCCACGGTTATGAAGACTTGTGTTGTCTCTGGTCGCTCCATTCATTCAGCAAACATTAAAAGTGTCAGTTAGGTGTTAGGGACACCTGGCGAACAGTGGACACGGCCTCTGCTTTCCTTTTAGGAAGCTGGGGGAATGGCTTTTGTTTTCTTTAGTGGCTTCGAAAAGAAACTCAAATTAATTTCCGCTAAGGCCACCTGTTGCTCCTGAAGNCGCTGAGAGCCCCACATTCTGGGCGGAGAGGCCCGGGGGAGCAGGCCTGAGGGCAAGGCTCACCTTCGGGGCTGGGGGCCCTCGGCTCTGGACAGGCACGTCGTACAGCTGGAAGGACGGAGCTGGCAAGGAGGCCTGGGCGGGTCTGGGAATCGTGAAGAGGGCCTTGGGGAGACAAAACCGACAGAGAGGAGACGTCACCGCTGAGTTCATGGACCATGTCTAGAGGCATCCCTCAGGTAGAAAGTCAGCTCCGACCCTCTTGAGGTGCTCTCCCAGCCCCCCTAACCGGCAGCCCTTCACTCTGAGCCTGGGAACAGCAGGATGCTGGTGGAGGGCGGTCTTCCTCACGTGCTGGCCCACAGCTGCCGGCATCAGCCTCATCTGGGAAGCAGGTTAAAATGCAGATTTCTGGGCCCCACATCAGTGATCTCCTTGGGAGGGGCCTGGGACTTGGCCATGGATGCTGTCTGCCAGGAGCTTAAAGTCTACCGGGGGAAAAAGATGAGGGGACACCCAGGACACAGGCTGGGAGGTGGGACAGGGCCCTGAGGAAACCGAAAAGTCAAGTCCAGGGACTCCAGCTGAGGGAGACAGTATTTCCCAAGGGGCACCAGGGAGCCGTCATTGAAGGTTTGGAGCGCGGGATGGTTAGGGTCTTATTCTGTGGAGATGGGGGTGGGAGCAGCGTATGAGGACGAGATCGCTTTGTTCATGGCGTGACCCAGCTCTGTGCCTGGCAGGAGGTAAGGGCTGGCCTCTGTTTGTTTGTTTGTTTGTTTGTTTGTTTGTGGTCAAAGGCTGTGTACAGCTTGAGACAACAGGCAGCAGACCAGTGGGGCCCATCGTGCATCAGGCTGAACACAGGAGCCGAGAAATCAGCTGCCAAGAACGCAGGACAAACACCTCTCCCCAGGTACACTCAGATGTCCAGTGTCCAAACGGCTTCCCTCTGAGTGACGACTGCTTTCTTACTCGCAGAGGAACCTGTTTCTCTAAAATCCTAGGCTCTTGGAAGCACTGCTGCCCGAAGCTGTATTAGCAAGAAGGAAGCATCCCATTCTTACCAGAGAAGCAGCCTCCGTTCCCACCTGCACGTGGAGGCTTGGATGAGGGGCG